ACAGCAACATACAGATTCATATGAAGATGGGTGTCTAGGAGGACAGCAACATACAGGTTCATATGAAGATGGGTGTCTAGGAGGACAGACACAGACAGGTTCATATGAAGATGGGTGTCTAGGGGGAAAGACACAGACAGGTTCATATAAAGATGGGTATCTAGGGAGACAGCAACAGACAGGTTCATATGAAGATGGGTGTCTAGGAGGACAGACACAGACAGGTTCATATGAAGATGGGTGTCTAGGGAGACAGCAACAGACAGGTTCATATGAAGATAGGTGTCTAGGGGGACAGACACAGACAGGTTTATATGAAGATGGGTGTCTAGGAGGACAGCAACATACAGGTTTATATGAAGATGGGTGTCTAGGAGGACAGACACAGACAGGTTCATATGAAGATGGGTGTCTAGGGGGAAAGACACAGACAGGTTCATATAAAGATGGGTATCTAGGGAGACAGCAACAGACAGGTTCATATGAAGATGGGTGTCTAGGAGAACAGCAACAGACAGGTTCATATGAAGATGGGTGTCTAGGGAGACAGCAACAGACAGGTTCATATGAAGATAGGTGTCTAGGGGGATAGACACAGACAGGTTTATATGAAGATGGGTGTCTAGGGGACAGACACAGAAAGGTTCATATGAAGATGGGTGTCTAGGGAGACAGCAACAGACAGGTTCATATGAAGATAGGTGTCTAGGGGGATAGACACAGACAGGTTTATATGAAGATGGGTGTCTAGGAGGACAGACACAGACAGGTTCATATGAAGATGGGTGTCTAGGGGACAGACACAGACAGGTTCATATGAAGATGGGTGTCTAGGGAGACAGCAACCAACAGGTTCATATGAAGATGGGTGTCTAGGAGGACAGCAACATACAGGTTCATATGAAGATGGGTGTCTAGGAGGACAGACACAGACAGGTTCATATGAAGATGAGTGTCTAGGGGACAGACACAGACAGGTTCATATGAAGATGGGTGTCTAGAAGGACAGACACAGACAGGTAGGTTCATATGAAGATGGGTGTCTAGGAGGACAGCAACAGACAGGTTCATATGAAGATGAGTGTCTAGGAGGACAGACACAGACAAGTTCATATGAAGATGGGTGTCTAGGGGGACAGCAACAGACAGGTTCATATGAAGATGGGTGTCTAGGGGACAGACACAGACAGGTTCATATGAAGATGGGTGTCTAAGAGGACAGACACAGACAGGTTCATATGAAGATGGGTGCCTAGGAGGACAGCAACATACAGGTTCATATGAAGATGGGTGTCTAAGAGGACAGACACAGACAGGTTCATATGAAGATGGGTGCCTAGGAGGACAGCAACATACAGGTTCATATGAAGATGAGTGTCTAGGAGGACAGACACAGACAGGTTCATATGAAGATGGATGTCTAGGGAGACAAAAACATACAGGTTCATATGAAGATGGGTGTCTAGGGAGACAAAAACAGACAGGTTTATATGAAAACGGTTGTCAAGGGGGACAGACACAGACAAGTTCACATAAAGATGGGTGCCTAGGAGGACAGACACAGACAGGTTCATAGGAAAATGAGTGTCTAGGAGGACAGACACAGACAAGTTCATATGAAGATGGGTGTCTAGGAGGACAGCAACAGACAGGTTCATATAAAGATGGGTGTCTAGAGAGATACCAACAGACAGGTTCATATGAAGATGAGTGCCTAGGAAGACAGCAACATACAGGTTCATATGAAAATGGGTGCCTAGGGAGACAGCAAAAGACAAGTTCATATGAAGATGGGTGTCTAGGGGGACAGACACAGACAGGTTCATATAAAGATGGGTGTCTAGGGGGACAGACACAGACAGGTTCATATGAAGATGGGTGTCTAGGAGGACAGACACAGACAGGTAGGTTCATATGAAGATGGGTGTCTAGGAGGACAGCAACAGACAGGTTCATATGAAGATGAGTGTCTAGGAGGACAGCAACAGACAGGTTCATATGAAGATGAGTGTCTAGGAGGACAGACACAGACAGGTTCATATGAAGATGGGTGTCTAGGGGGACAGACACAGACAGGTTCATATGAAGATGGGTGTCTAGGAGGACAACAACAGACAGGTTCATATGAAGATGGGTGTCTAGGAGGACAGCAACAGACAGGTTCATATGAAGATGGGTGTCTAGGGGGACAGACACAGACAGGTTCATATGAAGATGGGTGTCTAGGGGGACAGACTCAGACAGGTTCATATGAAAATGGGTGTCGAGGGGGACAGACACAGACAGGTTCATTTGAAGATGGGTGTCTAAGAGGACAGACACAGACAGGTTCATATGAAGATGGGTGCCTAGGAGGACAGCAACATACATGTTCATATGAAGATGGGTGTCTAGGAGGACAGCAACAGACAGGTTCATATGAAGATGGGTGTCTAGGGGGACAGACACAGACAGGTTCATATGAAAATGGGTGTCGAGGGGGACAGACACAGACAGGTTCATATAAGATGGGTGTCTAGGAGGATAGCAACAGACAGGTTCATATAAAGATGGGTGTCTATGGGGACAGCAATAGACAGGTTCATATGAAGATGGGTGTCTAGGAGGACAGCAACAGACAGGTTCATATGAAGATGGGTGTCTAGGAGGACAGCAACAGACAGGTTCATATGAAGATGAGTGTCTAGGAGGACAGACACAGACAGGTTCATATGAAGATGGGTGTCTAGGGGGACAGCAACAGACAGGTTCATATGAAGATGGGTGTCTTGGGGACAGACACAGACAGGTTCATATGAAGATGGGTGTCTAGGAGGACAACAACAGACAGGTTCATATGAAAATGGGTGTCTAGGAGGACAGACACAGACAGGTAGGTTCATATGAAGATGGGTGTCTAGGAGGACAGCAATATACAGGTTCATATGAAGATGAGTGTCTAGGAGGACAGCAACAGACAGGTTCATATGAAGATGGGTGTCTAGGGGGACAGACACAGACAGGTTCATATGAAGATGGGTGTCTAGGAGGACAGCAACAGACAGGTTCATATGAAGATGGGTGTCTAGGGGGACAGACACAGATAGGTTCATATAAAGATGGGTGTCTAGGGGAACAGCAACATACAGGTTCATATGAAGATGGATGTCTAGGAAGACAGCAACAGACAGGTTCATATGAAGATGGGTGCCTAGGAGGACAGACACAGACAGGTTCATAGGAAGATGAGTGTCTAGGAGGACAGACACAGACAAGTTCATATGAAGATGGGTGTCTAGGAGGACAGCAACAGACAGGTTCATATAAAGATGGGTGTCTAGAGAGATACCAACAGACAGGTTCATATAAAGATAGGTGTATATGGGGACACTGACAGGTTCATATGAAAATTGGTGCCTAGGAAGACAGCAACATACAGGTTCATATGAAAATGTGTGCCTAGGGAGACAGACACAGACAGGTTCATATAAGATGGGTGTCTAGGAGGACAGCAACAGACAGGTTCATATGAAGATGGGTGTCTAGGAGGACAGCAACATACAGGTTCATATGAAGATGGGTGTCTAGGAAGACAGACACAGATAGGTTCATATGAAGATGGGTGTCTAGGGGACAGCAACAACAATGTCACATCAAGATTAGTGTCCATGGGGACAACAAACAACAGGTGCATATATAAATGGGTGTCTATGGCGAGAGCAACAACTAGTGTCACACAAGGACAGGTCAGCAGGGGGAGAGCAACAGACAAGTACAAATGAAATGGGTGTCTAGGGGGACAACAGTCATATGAAGGCAGTTGTATAAGGTGACATCTATTGACAGAATGTGAATAAAGGGAAAAGAAGAAGACAATAAAGGAAGGAAACGAAAAAGATACTAAACAGTACAACAGATAAAAGAAAGTTTGTCCATTTCCGTGATCAGGATACAAAGAATAAACTTATGCAGGAATGCCATATTTAGCCCCCTCCCACCCCTCCCCCTCCATGATGGCGGGTAGACACAAGTCTTAGGACAGACATCATGGAAAATCTTCAGTGATAGCCTCATGTACAAGGCAGCATCAGGAGAAACATATATTAGTTTATTTACTGATATGTATATACTATGATTTCTTATCACCTCATTGGCCTCTTCAGTAATTTCTAAGAAAAAGAATTTGCAAATTTGAGAAATACAAAATCTATAACGGCGATCTCAGTTGCCATTTTGATCTTATGATTCCACAGCACAAAATGATCATGTACTCAGAGTTTTGCCTTATTAACTCTTGAAACATAGCTTTGACAATTTTTAAAGTGACATCATGGTAAAGCAATTTTTTCTTTAGTGTTTTTTTTCAATATTGGATATATATCTATCAAGTGTATAACTTTATGAATGACAGCTGGTTTCGATAAAATATGGACATAAAGGGGTTGATTAATCATTTTGTCTGGATCTGTAAATATGATGATGCATGTGCACAAAACACCTGTAAACACCTTTAAACCAAAATAATAACACTTGCCACACCCCTTAATGAAATCTGGTGCTGAAAACAGGATTTCACTGGCTATGTCACTACTGTTGCTGTCATTTCTGCACCCCCCCACCTTCCATTATGTGTTTGTGTTTACAAAATTAACTGACTCATTTTCAAAATTATCATGTTTTTACCATGATATCCCCTTAAATGTGAAACTGGATTCAAAAGAATAGCAGTGAGATAACAGAGGGTCATTCTGCATTTCTATCAACCTTAAATAATTATAGCTTACTAACTGTAAGGCTGGCATTGTCAATAATACTATTTCCTGCATCACCAAATTTTGTAATGGATTAGTTACACTTTTGTAGTAAAATTCCGAGTAAATATTTTATGATGTTAATTCATATACAGACAACATTTGCTAATTGAAAACCAGTGTAAATGCAGGTCTGTTACCTTCATATTTTTTGGTCAGTATGAACATGGACAGAATGCCATTCAATCCCTATATAAAACCAATACTCACATGTCTGTCACATTCCCTAGTAGTGGATCTGTACCAGGTTTACATGTCGTCTCAATACTAACTTCCTGGAGGCCATTCACAGGTACATCCCTACATAAAACTGCATCCTTGGAATCATTACTAACTGTATGATCTGTCTGTTCATCAATAAGTAAGTCATTGTTTCTCTGGTCCATGCATTTACTCTGTAATTGATGAGACTGGTGAACTTTAACCCTGCGGGAAACTTTTTCTAATGCTTTCTTCAGACCACCTCCATGGAAATATTCCAGGATTGTTTTTCGGCACCAGTCGATCCTGGTCTCTGGAAGCCTTGTCCAGTGATCTGTTGCCAACTGATGCATGGCATCAGCATATTGTCGCAAGGTATTTGAGTCATTACAGTGTTCCTTCCAAATCTGCTCAAAGTCATCAGTGCCTAAAGGACAGAAGAACAATAAGGAAATGAATGAAAAGGGAGCTGCACTGACTTCTGAGAATAGAAAATTATGTACAATTTACTGGTTTGCAGTGTGAATCTCTCCATGAACAGCCAACGACATTTTGAAGTACTGTTAAGTTATACATTTTTCTGAAGATTTTTCAGGGTTTAAAAAAAATCACTTTTTCATTTGATTACTTATTTACTTGCTTATAATAATCTTAATGTTAATGGACATATTAATTTTATGGATAGAGACCACCCACAAAATCAACGAAAATAAATCTACCACCAAAATTAATGATTTTATAGTGGGCTCTCCTTGTTTCATCACAGAACAACATGCCAGAGGCCTGTCACATTGATAACAGTACATGACAGTCTGTGATCTTAACTTCCTAAGAAAAACAAACTACCCTTGGTAGGGATGCCGTTGGGGGGCCTTATATGTACTTGAAATAGTACAATAATACTGGGTCGAAATTCATTGAAGGATGTATAGACGGATAACATGGACACTTAATTCCTCATTGATATTGTAATTTTGGGATCTTACATGAGTTTCCATTTTGTATGATTCATAAAACATTTTTTAAACTTATTTTTTGGCCAGCATTAATCATATATGAGGTGGAAATGTATTTCAGAACCTTTTTAACACCTGATCATTTATTTTTACAAATATGTTAGGAAATCTACTTTTCCATGTCTCACTTGGATGTTTTCTTGACTCTTTATCTATCATTTCAATTGTAATGCCACTATATAATCTGCCAATGTATGATGCTATTTTATTATCTAATCCCGACATCATATTAGACTTTATCCTACAAGGTCATGTTCAAAACTATGACATGTGTATATTCACTGAATAAAACAGCAATTATGTGATAAAACAAATCAAAATAGTAATACTACCTGTGCATTTCTTGAATTTCTTCCTTAGATCTGCATGCAGACCTTTAATGACTCCAGCAAGTCTCAGGTGCTCCTCCCGACCTTCCATGACTGCCATTACATCATCAACTGTAAAATAATATAAATATACATATGTACATACAGTGTACCCTAAACATATATGTAAACCTGATAACCTCCCTGTTTAAAGTATGTTGAGTTGTCCATACCCATACACATTTACTTTAAACTTTTACAAATATTTAAGACCCAAATGAGTTAATTTGAATTTTCAATATTACTCATGATCCAAATTAAATAAATTGTCAACAGTATATATATGATCTGTTATGGTTTGAAATTGTTTCACATTTGCAATAATTTTCATCATATCATTTCAAAAATGGACGCAATTATTACTATGATTTTGAATTAGGTGCATATCAGCCTTGACAGTAATCCAAGTAAGGACTTCTTTTTTGAGACAGCAGTTAATGTAACACCTATATTAAAAACTGCTTTGAATGTGTAACTGATTTTAAAGCTCTGTGCACAACAAGTGTAACTTAATTTGATCTTTCATCAGAGGTCAGTGATGACTTTTTATGCCAAGTCTGGTACTGTACACAAAGTAATGTTTGTAATCTGTAATAAACCCATGGAAAAGACTGCCTTTTCACCCCACCCAATTTTTATTGAGAATAAGAAATCCATATGTCTGAAAGGGTTAATCTTTATAAGGGCACATCTGAAAAAGGTAAACACACATACAAAATAAACATATATACAGGTTAAAATGTCTGTTAATCATTGTTTTGGGCATGTTTGACATTTTTGGAAAAAATATCAACGAAACAAGTCTTACCCAAAAGACAAAAACGTAGAAATGTGATGAAAAATTAAAGTCTGATTATTTATTTTAACAATTCACCCATACACTCAGTATCTGGCCAGTTTTGTCGTGTACTTTATTTTGAAAACAAACTTGATTGAACTGAATTTGAGTTCTCGATCACATGATTATCATTTGTTATTTAACATTATATATTGATATACATGTACATGTAGGGGGCCTACAATGTAGGCTACATCCACCGACTTCTAAAGTTCAGTGGCATGGCCAGCGGATGATACACGTAATTTTGTGCTATCACTTATCTGTTATAAAATTGTTATAAAGAAACAAGGCAGCAGTCATCATTTGGTAATAGTGTGTTAACGTATCATAATACGTTGCTTTTCTATACCTAACGTCAAAGTAACAGCAGCGCAACACGTTGAAACTGTCAACAATATAAACAGGAAACTGAGCCTATTTGCTAATATTAGGGACGAGTCGGAGAGGGAATTCCGGAATGTTCGCTTCCGAACCGTTTTCTAATAGACATAATAATACGACTGTTATTGGTAAAAATACGCGACTATATTAAATTAATAAATTAATCAATCAATTAATCAATCAATTAATCAATCAATCAAGAAGAAGAAGAAGTGGCAGCTAGGGTGGGTGGGCCTCCAGTTGTATGCTGTCCAAAGATAAAGTGTTTTGTATCTATCTTATTATTTATCAAACGGAGATTGCGTTCGCTATTACAAACTTTCCGCTATTTTTGCATCGAACTAATGATAGTAACATCGGCTATTTACAATGGAACGTTTCCCAAAATTGAATATTCGTTGTGGAATTTGTGTTATTTGAAATAAAAGTAAACGGTACTTCCTTCTAAAATAAATCTTTATCTATAAATAAGTGGAGAACTATTCATGTTAGCCTATTCTATTTGTTTGTCCTCAATTCCTTTTGAAAATGCAAAAAGTGAAAACTAGAAATGAAGTCGTGCGACACCACATTATTATATATATCCTGTGATATATGCTAACTTGACAAGGCAATATACTACTGAAATGAATATTTTACTACACATGTGAGTTGAATTAAAGGGAAAATGTTGAAAAGTTTACTAAAGAATAACAACGGTTTAAATGTTTAAATGAGAAAACGATGAGTTCCATACAAGTTATACAAGGTATATTCTCACCTCTTTAAATTCTAAGTGAACCATACTCATCTAAACGGTTTCTACAAATAGAAACACGTGCTTCTGATATTTTGAGAATGATATTGACATTTTTTTAAAACAAAAAATGTTCCATTTTAGAGCTCTCTACACAATGTTATATCTAATGACAACATAACTTCAAATGAACAAAAAAATCTTTGTTTAGGCAGGAGTCGCTATTCGTTTCACTTTTTCACTTTGTTTCGTATTTGTATCTGAAAAAATAAGAAAAGAAAAAGAAAGAAAACGTTTATGACATATGCGAAGAGTTAACCTACTTTCTGTATATGTACAGATAAAATGAAACACAGATTGGGAAAAATGGTAAATCACAGCTGTTGCATTCAAATAGAAATCTTAATATTGATCTGGTTTTAAAAAAGCTTTGTTGAAATTTCACAGTGCCATTTGTATCAGTTTTTAGACTAGGTTTCATGTTATCATGAGCACACCATTTCTTGTGTTCTTATTAGAGAGGACATTGGAAAAGATACGTTAAATGAACCCGGTTAGTCCAAACGTCATCTCACGCAAGTTTGACGGAATACAACACACACTTCACATACACCTTCACGCACTCTTTCAGTCGCACACCCGCTGAAACTCCCGCACACACACAAACACACCCTTACACACACGAGGGCAAATACATATGCATATTTCATACTGTTTGTCAACAGGAATGTCAATATATATATGTGAAATCTATGAAGTAATAAAGATAGTACGGATAAGTGAATGGTCAAATTTCCGAGATAATCTGTCACTTCATTAAGACATAAAATATTACATAAGTAACATTCTCATACATAAAACAGGTGTGCAACGTTATAAACTATAGTCGAGAACGGTAGTGCATTTATATATATATATATGAAAAGAATAAAATCAACACGACACATGTATTCCGCTATATATATATATATCGACGGCATGGTCCAGTGTTGGATCCTATTAAACAAATGTTCGTTTATATTACTGGAATAGATAAAGTTTGCTAACGTTTTCGAGTCTGTATATATGTTGTCTTTTGGCTGTCCGCACATAAACATTTTCCAGAATCCAGAAAATAGAATCTGTATTAGCTGAACACATTATACAGGTTATCTCCTAATGGTATAGAGAGAAGAACTGGAATATTTTGTGACTGTTAATTTGTTTATGTTTACATCTATTTTATGAATACGATAATTTTGACATTCTCATTGACCCAAGTTAGTTTGTTAATCCGACAAACTGTTGAAAATGCTTTTGTTCATAATCGTAGACTATGCCAGTTCTAACCGCTTAAGGAAATTGTCGTTGAGAAGGCCATGTGATTGTTTTTAACACAGTGCCATTAAAGATTTAAATTTCATAATAAGACAACTCTCAGGAAAGTAACATTTAAAGAAAATGATATGATAGGATGGATTTGCTCAACTGAATTCATTCCGTGACGACAGATGACACCATATCGTAAGTATACATGATTATATATGAAGCCTTTTACGATGTGATCATACATAGAACTGTGTCTTTACGATGTGATCATACAGAGACCTGTGTCTTTACGATGTGATCATACATAGAACTGTGTCTTTACGATGTGATCATACAGAGAACTGTGTCTTTACGATGTGATCATACAGAGAACTGTGTCTTCAGGATGTGATCATACAGAGACCTGTGTCTTTAAGATGTGATCATACATAGAACTGTGTCTTTATGATGTGATCACACAGAGAACTGTGTCTTTACAATTCTATCCTACATAGGACAGTCTTTACGATGTGATAATAGAGAACTGTGTCTTTACGATGTGATAATACAGAGAACTGTGTCTTTATGATGTGATCATACATAGAACTGTGTCTTTACGATGTGATCATACAGAGAACTGTGTCTTTACGATGTGATAATACAGAGAACTGTGTCTTCAGGATGTGATAATACAGAGACCTGTGTCTTTACGATGTGATAATACAGAGAACTGTGTCTTCAGGATGTGATCATACAGAGACCTGTGTCTTTACGATGTGATCATACATAGAACTGTGTCTTTACGATGTGATCATACACATAACTGTGTCTTTACGATGTCATCATACAGAGAACTGTGTCTTCAGGATGTGATCATACAGAGACCTGTGTCTTTAAGATGTGATCATACAGAGAGCTGTGTCTTTACGATGTGATCACACAGAGAACTGTGTCTTTATGATGTGATCACACAGAGAACTGTGTCTTTACAATTCTATCCTACATATGACAGTCTTTCCGATGTGATCATACAGAGAATTGTGTCTTTAAGATATGATCATACAGAGAGCTGTGTCTTTATGATATGATCATACATAGAATTGTGTCTTTACGATGTGATCATACACAGAACTGTGTCTTTACGTTGTGATCATACAGAGAACTGTGTCTTTACGATGTGATCATACAGAGAACTGTGTCTTTATGATGTGATCATACAGAGACCTGTGTCTTTACGATGTGATCACACAGAGAACTGTATCTTTATGATGTGATCACAAAGAGAATTGTGTCTTTACAATTCTATCCTACACAGGACAGTCTTTTCGATGTGATCATACAAATAACTGTGTCTTTACGATGTGATCATACAAAAAACTGTGTCTTTGCATTTCTATCATACACAGGACAGTCTTTACGATGTGATCATACAGATAACTGTGTCTTTATGATGTGATCATACAAAGAACTGTGTCTTTGCATTTCTATCATACACAGGACAGTCTTTAAGATGTGATCATACAAAGACATGTGTCTTTACGATGTTATCATACACAGAACTGTGTCTTTACGATGTGATCATACATAGAACTGTGTCTTTACGCTATGATCATACATAGAACCGTATCTTTACGATGTGATATACATAGACCTGTGTCTTTACGATGTGATCATACAGAGAACTGTGTCTTTATGATGTGATCATACAGAGAACTGTGTCTTTATGATGTGATCACACAGAGAACTGTGCGTGTCTTTACAATTCTATCCTACACAGGACAGTCTTTACGATGTGATCATACACAGAACTGTGTCTTTACGAG